GCTCCCTCCAGAGGTGATGCAATTGCCTACCCTGGAAATCTTCAGGAGGAGACTGGACAGTCATCTTGCTGGGGTCACCTAACCCCACTTGTCATTTTTCCTGCCTGGTGCAGGGGGCTGGATCCAATGATCTTCCAAGGTCCCTTCCAGCCTTACAACCTATGACTCTATGAATCTAAGAGAGGAACACTTTAACACACTAAGCCTTAGAAACAACATGTAAAGCATCTGCAACAATTTAAGAGCAACCATCAAATTCTACAGGATCATCAGTGAAATATTAATTTGGAACCTCTAACTCTTTGTTTTCTCCTTTTTAACAGTATGACAGATTCCCAGAAAAGGATCGTGTCAAAGATGCTTTACAAGGCATTGGTAAAAATGAAGAATAGGTTCTGTTATTTAATAGACAGATAGACAGATTCACTTTAAGTTTCATCTGAATTGCCTGTAGCTTGTAGCTAATGACATTTTTCTTAGGGTAACACTCAAACATTTAACTTCCATGCTAGAGCTGAGTTTATGATTTAAAAGTAACTAAACAGTATTAATGCTCAGGGACACATTTAATTATAGGGACATCTACTGGAAGGGAAGCAGCAAAGCCCAAGCAGTTCAGCAAATTCTTGGACTGTGCTGGGGATAACATTTGGTACAGATGGAAGGGAGGCCAACTACCGATGAAGTTCTTCTCCACTTGCTGCTCACAAACAGGGAAGAATTGGTTGAGAATGTGAAGGTGGAAAGTAACAGTAGGAGACAGTGACCATGAAATGATAAGAGCTCAAGATCTGAAGGAGAGAAAAGAAGGAGAATAAAGCAGAATAGACACAGGACTTCAGAAAAGCAGACTTTAATAAACTGAGGGAACTAGTGGGCAGGATCCCCTGGATGACAAGGAATCCAGTAAGCCATATTAAAGGGTACAAAGCAAGTTATTCTGATGCAACAGAAGAATGGGAAGTGCAGCAGAAGAGCAGCCTAGCCAGACAGCAGTCTCTTCAATAAGCTGAAATCCAAAAAGGATGCTACAAGAAGTAGGAACTTGGACACAGAACTAAGGACAACTATAAGAGTACTGTGTGGACATGCAGGGAAAAAATTAGTAAGGCCAAGGCATGATTTGAGTTACAACACGTAAGACACATACAAAGCAATAAAAATGAATTCTACAACTAATATAAAAAATAAAACAACCAATGAAACCACTGGTCCCTTACAGAATGCAGAAGGCAACCCAGTTATGGATGATGCAGAGAGGGCTGAAGTACTTAATGGCTTTTTTCTTCTGTCTTCACAAACAGAATAAGCCAACAGATGAGGACAGGAGTTAGCAAAGATAGGGAAGGAGACAAACAGCTTAGAAGAGAGGAAGAACAGGTATGGGATTATTTAGAGAAGCTAGAAGTTGGAGTTAGCAGGGCCAGACGGGATGCAACCTACAGTAGTGAAGGAACTGGCTGAGGTAACTGCAGAGACACTGGTTATCACGGAGGTCATGGGAGGTCCCAGAAGAATAGCAAATACAGTGCCAATCTTTAAGAAAAGGAAGAAGGATCCAGGGAATTGAAGACCAGTCAAGTTTGACCTTGATACCAGGAAAACTCATGGAGTAGGTCAAGGAATCTATTATGAAGCACCTACAGGAGAACAATAACAAGTGATGCCTGACCAACCTGATTTCTTCCATAATAATGCGACAGGCTCTGTGGATTGGAAGAAAGAAATAGATGGGTTATACCTTGATTTTAGCAAGGGCTTTGATATAGTCTCCTACAGCATTTGCATTAACAAACTAAGGAAATACAGACCAGACAAATACTACAATGTGGATAAAAAACTGGTTGACTCACTGGCTGAATTGTGCTAAATGAGCAGTCATAAATGACTCAATGGCTTGTGGGATGTGGTATCGAGTGGAGCTCCCCACAAGTCTGTCCTAAGTTTGGTACTGTTCAACATCTTCATTAATGATTTGGGTGATAGGACTGAGTGCATGCTTAGCAAATTTGCAGACGATACCAATTTGGTCAGAACTGCAGACACTCTGGAGAGTAGGGCTATGATTCAAAATGACCTGCGTACACTGGAGAAATGGTCTGAGATCAACCAGATGGAATTCAGCAAAGAGAACTGCAAAGTCCTACACTTGGGAAAGCATAACTGAATGAATACAAACTAGGGAATGAGTGGCTAGGATGCAGTACTGTACAGGAGGACCTGGGGGTGGGGGGGTCACAGAAGAGTATAAGCTGTCTGTGAACCAATAGTATGCCCTTGTTAAGAAAAAAACCCCAAAAAAACAACATAACAGAAGCACTGCTTACGAATCAAGGAAAATGATTCTTCCCTCTGTTTGGCATTTGTACAGCTTCACCTGGAATGCTGTGTCCAGTTTTAGGCCCCACACTTCAAGAAGGATGTGAACAGATTGAAGAGAGCGCAGCAAAGAGCGACAAAACAATCAGAAGCCTCGGAAGTAGGATTTATGAAGAAAGACTGAAAGAACTAGAATGATTTAATCTGGAGAAGACAAAGGGCATTTGATAAGTCTTCAAATACTTGAAGGGTGATTACGGAGAGGATGGAGATAAGCTATTCTCTATGGCTACAGAGCACAGGACTAGGAGGAAGGGTGTCAAGTTGCAGAAGAGGAAATTTAGGTTGGAAATTAAGAGGAACTTTCTGATTACGAGTGTGGTCAAACATTGGAACAGGCTTGGAAGTTTTTAAGAGCAGGTTAGACAGACGCTTGGCCGGGATGGATGTGTCAGGGACGATCCTGCCTTGAGCAGGGGCTAAATTAGATGATGTTATGAGGACCCTTCTAGCCCTACTCTCCTATGTTCCTACGATAAGAAGGTTAGTAGTGTGAGTTTTCTCCTCACAATAATTAATTGTAGTGGGAAATGGTAATGATGATGCCTGTAGAGTGAATAACTGAACATCCAATTATGGGGCTTAACTGACAGTTTTAACGATAACATTCCAGGGAAACTGCCAAAATATCTTTAATAGATAACTTCAATTTACAGTTAGTAATGTTGTATCATCCCATGCCATGATAGTGGGTAAAAGCTGAAACTTTCAAAATAATGCATCACCTAAAGAGTAAAAGCAAATTAATATTCCACTTCCCTCTTCTGAAGTACTTTCCTAAACAAAATAGTTAAACTATGCCAACCATGTAACATGGCACACAAAGTTCTAAATTGATCATTCACATATTTGTTTTTAAATGATTTCTGCATCTAGATAAGCCTTCTAGCTTCATGGAGTCACAGCTGATCATCAGGGTTTATAAAGATGGCGGCATACATAACCTCCTGATACATAGATATAGGAACATACATTGTTATATCAACTGATTTTTAAATCACCTTACCTTACTTAACTGTATTTCCATCAAGAAATCTGGGTTTCTTCTTCTTCCCCCACATGCAGTGCTACGTCCATGTTTTGTTGGTGTGAGAGAAGGAGAACTATGAGGACTACTGGAAGAAAAAAAATACAGGAGGATTTTTCCCAATTAAAAATGAAACTCAGTTCATATCATCACCAGCCACACAAGCAGGCACATTTTCCTAGATTTTACTAAATATTTTTAGTGTTAAAAAAGAAAAAAATTGCTGTTTCTTTCAGCTAAAAATGTATTTTCTCTTTCACTACAGTGAATACCCACACATCTGTAGGCACTTAAAAATATTAATAAATGAAGGGGTCTGCACTGAATAAGTTTTCATTTCAGATCACAAAAAAAACATTTTCCAAGGCTATCCAAGATAATGTTCACTCTTCCATTAGCTCGGATAGTGTCCTCAAGACAAAATTCATCTATCACAACTTCATGCCACACTCATGTCCAAGACCTTCTCATGCAGGGAAAGCCTGGCAGAGTACATTGGGTTGTCAATTAATTTTGAAAATAAAGAAATTTAGACTCATTCAGAACAAGAGGTAGGAAAAATACATTCCAGAATTTTGACAAAATATTGTTGAAAAAAATGCACCCTGTAATTTCAATTTCAGTTCAAATGCAGAATCTGTGGATCTGAAAAGGAAATATTTAGCTACCTAAAACACTTACATAAAACTCTTAGCTGGAGAAGTAGGAGGTGCAGGCCCCAAATCCTTTCCTCCATAGAGATGCCAAATAAGAGAGATTTCCTTCACAACATAGCGTACCAAAGGGATAGGAAAATGAAGAGGGGCTTTGCTGGTATCTGTTTTTTTTACAGGCTGGCTGAAATGGTTTTCTTTTACTACAATGGGATCATCAACCATTACTTTCACTACAGGCTCCTCCTCCTTTTCCTAAAAAAAAGTTGAAGAAAATGAAGAAAGTAAGATACCCGAGTGAAGAAAATAAGTTTTTCAACATGGAAACAAACCAGAGTCCTTCTGCTTCTGTATTATGATGATGGTGGAACACAGCTCCACTAATTGCTGTTTTGGGAATGACTCTATGGCCCCTAGACTAAGTCCTTGGTGAGATACCCAATATAACTAACAATTAGACAAATAAACTGAGAGGAAATATCATCATTACTAGCATCAGCACTGATAGCTCTTCTGGCTATGCAGCATCTGGGTGTGAACCAAGTAAAGCAGGGGTGGGCAAAATGCAGCCCACCAAACCATTCTAACCAGCCCACAGAGCCCCTAAAAAATTTAGAAAATTAATATTTATCTGCCCCGGCTGCCTGTCATGCGGCCCTTGATGGCTTGCCAAAACTCAGTAAGCAGCCCTCTTCCCAAAATAATTGCCCACCCCTGAAGTAAAGCCTTCTTCCAATCAGAAGCCTAGAGCTCATTCCAGCTTGTGCAGTAGGCAGCAACCCGTGAGCTGTAGTTTACTGAAGATACTATAAGAAAATTGAAGATTGACTGTGTTTTAAGTTAACGTTCTTATCTTTCCATCTGCCCAGGGACTTCCCATTAGCAGCCACAGACAAATCAGCAAGAAGTTACAAACTGCACAGGTCTAAAATGCGTTTTCTTCTCAATTCAGTATACACCTGGATTTCCTAACAATATTAGGAGCATCTTACAGACACAGCAGCCTTGGGTGCAAAGAGAATGCAGAAGTCATCATTTTCAGTAGGTACATCTCCCATTGCCTCATTTATCAAGTGGTGAGTAAAAGAATAAGTGGGACTTGGTTCTTGTGAGATGTTCCCACTTTCATCAGGAAACAGAAAGAGATCTGAGCAAGATGGCTCTCGAGTTTGAGATTTCTCATTCAAAATTCCTGGAAAATGAAGAAAGGCATTTTAATGTAAATATCTTTGTAAGATGCTACAGATAGTAGAATTAACAACCGGGAATTTGTACCATATCTAACTCAAATCTGAGTTGACCTTGAATTTAAGACAGCCCTCCAATAATTAACAACACGAAGTCCTTTTTCAAATACATAGGGGGCAAAAAGAAGGTCCTGGGTAATGTGGGGCCCTTGCAGGACGCGTTGGGAAATTTGGTCGTCACACCAGATGACAAAGCTAACACGTTTAACGATTTCTCTGCCTCCGTCTTCCTAAGCAGGGACCAAAACAGCCACTTCCCTGCTGGGCCCCCCTCGGGCCCCAGGGGACACACACCTGGGCCAAGGGTTAGCGAGGAATTAGTTAGACAGCTTCTGGAGGGGCTGGACGTATTCAAGTCAGCCAGTCCGGACGATCTCCACCCTGGAATTCTAAAGAAACTGGCCAAGGTCATTGCAGGACCCCTGGCACGGCTTTACGAGCACTCGTGATGCTCTGGAGTGGTGCCGGAGGACTGGAAGAAGGCCAACGTGGTTCCCATCTTCAAAAAAGGGAGGAAGGAGGACCCGGGAAACTATAGGCCAGTTAGTCTTACCTCGATCCTAGGCAAGCTGTTCGAGAAAATTATTCTGGCACACATCCATGAGGGGCCAGCAGGGGACTGCATGCTTAGGGGCAACCAACACGGGTTCATCAGTGGCAGGTCCTGTCAGACCAACCTGGTGGCCTTTTACGATCAGATCACCAAATCCTTAGATGCAGGGGTAGCAAGGGACATAGTCTTCCTGGACTTCCGGAAGGCTTTCAACACTGTCTCTCACCCCATCCTCATTAAGAAACTGGGGGACTGTGGTGTCGACACCCACACAGTCAAATGGGTCGCCAACTGGCTGGAGGGCCGCACCCA